GCTCCATGACGCGATTTTGTGCTCCTTATCTCCCTCGCGGTCACTTTATCTGAAGAGAGTCTGCTGACTGGTGTGGTCAGCGTGACAGGTCTCTCTCTGGATGATGGTGTGGTCAGCGTGACAGGTCTCTCTCTGGATGATGGTGTGGTCAGCATGACATCTCTCTCTGGATGATGGTGTGGTCAGCGTGACAGGTCTCTCTCTGGATGATGGTGTGGTCAGCGTGACAGGTCTCTCTCTGGATGATGGCACACATCTCCTCCTGAGCGCCGGGCCTGCACGGGGGCGGGGGGGCAAGCTGGCTGAGGGTGCCCGCGGAGCCTCTGAAGGTTAAACATTTATAGAGGCGGTTGGGGGAGCGGGCAGGAGTTCGGCCGAGGGGGGGGCGGCGCTCCATCAAGCTGAGAACGGGTGCTGGGGCTTCCTAAGCCTGGAGGGGGCTTTGAAATGGGATTGTTTTATGGTCATTTTTAAAAAATAACATAATTAATATTTGAAAATGGAGCAAGAGGAAAGTCATGGTAAATTGCTAAAATTTGTAAACTGTCTTATAGTAATCATATCGTACACTGACTGCCTGAGCCCAGCAAGAGATGTGCGTGTGTTTTTACAAAACAGAAACATTGGATTCTAGCGTTGAGCGCCTGTGTAGTTTTTAACATTTTGGGTCTAGTGGCCCCCAGTGGCCCCCGCCAGCCGGCCCTGAGGTTGAAGGTTTGCACGCCGATGCCTCCCAAGCTGCCCCCATGCGTGTCGGCGGCTCTCGGGACCCATCACTGCCGCCCTTCCTGCTTCTGCCTGTCTGCACGAGTCAGTTTCTCTCTGCCGACTCGCTGTCCTGAGAGCAGGGCCTCCCTCGGGGGCTGGGGGGTCGACCCAGAGCCAGTCTGCCACCCGCCTCAGGTGGAGGCTGTCAGGCTCTCAGCAGTCACCCAGTGTTTCTCAGCCCGATTCTCGGGGATCCCCAGTTCATGTTTTTGCTCCCTCCCGGCTCTTGGAGCAAAAATGTGGACCGTTTGGGGCCCCCCGGGGATTCTTTTGAGAAACACTAGTCTAATCATCACCCTGTCTGACATCCCAGGGCAGCCATCTTACTAAGAGCTGGCCGTTAAGAGGAAGAGGGCCTTTGTCAGATAAGCATCTCTTTCAGGGCTTTGTTCCTCTTTATTCAGCCTGAGCTGCTTCACATAAAAGCAGAGGTCATTATTTTATAATAGATAACAGCACCATGACACTGTACTTAAAGACAGTGGGACAGTATGTCACTCTGGACAAAAGCATCAACATGTAGTATTATATTATTATAAAGGAATATAATTCATTTTTTAAACTGAACTGTCATTGCAGATTTCTATGGTTTAGAGCAGGGGTGTCAAACTGCAGTCTTTCCCTGTTCCACCACAAATGATTCAGCTCAACTGCTGTGTGGTAATTAGCACAAGAAGTTGAATCAGGTGTCTTAAACGAGGGGAAACCCAAACATGTGCAGGGTTCCGGCCCCCCAGGACTGGAGTCTGACACCTGTGGTTTAGAGTGTAATCAGTGTAACTAAAACTGATGCATTCTGGGATCTCACATTGTCAGTGTGTGCATGTGTGTGTGCAGTGTGTGCATACGTGTATGGGTGTGTATGAGCCAGTGTGTTTGTGTCTGAGATGTGTGTATATTAGGGACACTGGACAGTTATGTCATGAAAGTGGAATCAACGTTGACTAATCGCTGTTGACTCTGTATTTCAAAAAGTATCGGCTCTCCTCTCCAAATCATTGAACTCGGGTGTTTAGCAGTGGAGACGTGTTCTCTGGAGTGATGAATCATGCTTCTCTATCTGGCAATCCGATGGACGAGTCTGGGTTTGGCAGTTGCCAGGAGAACGTTACCTGCCTGACTGCATTGTGCCAGCTGTAAAGTTTGGTGGAGGGGGCATTACGGTGTGGGGTTGTCTTCTCTGGAGTTGGGCTTGTCCCCTTAGTTCCAGTGAAAAGAACTCTTAATGCCGCAGCATTCAAAGATAATCTAATGCTCCCAACTTTGTGGGAACACTGGGGATGGCCTCTTGCTGTCCCAACATGACTGCCCACCAGTGCACAAAGCAAATGAAGGACATGGATGAGCGAGTCTGATGTGGAGGAGCTTGACTGGCCTGCACAGAGCCCTGACCTCAACCCGATAGAACACCTTTAGGATGAATTAGAGCGGAGACTGTGAGCCAGGCCTTCTCGTCCAACATCAGTGCCTGACCTCACAAATGCTCTCCTGGAAGAATGGTCAAGAATTCCCATAAACACTCCTACACCTTGTGGACAGACTTCCCAGAAGAGCTGAAGCTGTTATAGCTGCTAAGGGTGGGCCAGCTCCATATTAAAGCCTATGCATTAAGAATGGGATGTCATTAAAGTTTATGTGTGTGTAAAGGCAGGTGTCCCAATACTTTTGGCTATATAGTGTATTTATAAAACAACACGGGAAGGACTTTGCAACATGCAACGATTTGTATTCACAAAACTTAATGGATCCGCTCACGACAGACAGCTCATATATTTCTTATATGAACAGAAAGAAGTCGAAACAGTAATAGGCTGCGAATAAGCAGCAAGAGTTCATGCAGCAATAAACCCTGTATGCTGCAGCTTCCATGTAAGTATGAAGGAAGAAGAATGACGGTGTTACACGTGGGCCGGAAACTACACTGGCACCATAAATCTGAAAAAAATTCAAGTCCTGAAATAGAGGGACTATGTATAAAATGTGTTGTAATTTCTACAGGGTGAAACCGAAATGTATGTGGACTTTAATCATGTCTGAATTGTTTGATTTGAAATTTTGAACTGTGCAGCAGAGGGGTAAATCAAAGAAAAATGTGTCTTTGTCCCAAACGTTATGGAGGGCACTGCAAGAGAAAGGCCATTTTGATCTTGATCTATCCCCCCAATAATAAACAAATAATTAACAAATCAGTCAGTGTGTGTATGTGTGTGACTGTGTCAGTGTGTGTGTGTATGTATATGTTGTTTGTGCGTGTGTGTCAGTGTGTGTGTATGTGTGTGTCTGTCAGTGTGTAGGTGTAGATGTGTGTGTCTGCTTGTCTGTATGTGTCTGTGAGTCAGTGTGTGTATACGTGGCACTGTATGTCAGTGTGTGTGTCTGTGAGTCAGTGTGTGTATACGTGGCACTGCATGTCAGTGTGTGTGTCTGTGTCAATATATTTATGTGATGTGTGTCTGCGTGTTTGTGTGTGTGCCTGTGTGTCATGGAGACCTTCTGTTGTTCTCCCAGCTGGAGCAGTAGTAGAGTAAATGGGGCTCCTGTAATTACTCTCCCATTCCTTAATTATGGCATCCCCAGAGAGTAATGCAGCTCAGGCGTCATGGCAGGTGGGTGTTACTATGACGACCCCAGGCCCCAGCCAGGTTTCGGTCGGAGGCACCGTGCGTCCACTGTGAGGCGCTATACAACAGGGTGACGCACACTCCTGATGTCAGAACAGGGGCTTATCAGACAGTAGTGATTTGGTTTGAAGGTGCTGGCTACACCTCATGATGACATGGGGGGGTGTTTTCGAGGCTACGATTTCTTTCCCCTCTGACAGGCAGATAAATGGACACACAGATGGATGTAAACTGTGCGTAAACAGTTTCCCGCTGTTTCGGCGTCACGTTGGGGTGGCTGCTGTACACCTCTGTGTGACCGGATGGGCTGGGGGGAGACATGCAGGTGGCTGGCAAGTGGCCAGCGGCCTTCTGGGAGACGCCTTTAGTTAACGGTGCTGAGCAGACCTGCCGCATGCATACATGTTGGCAGCCGCTGACAGCTGACCTTTAATTAACATCCATCTGCAAATCTAAACCTTGTCCGTTCACAGAGTTCTGGAGGAAGCCTGTCCTCTGTAGCCAATGCAGTCTGAGTCCGGTTTGCCATTCAGGCCGGAACTACTGTCTGCGGTCTGTTTATCTCTCGTGGTCGAAGCCTAGTCTGTGTGGAGAAACAGAAAAGAGGAGAAAGTTTTGTATGGTGACACAAGGTTGTGTTCCTGTGTATGTCTAGTAACTCTAGTTGACGCTTATACCAAATAGCACTCGGGGCTGTTAATTAGCCGCCTGTCCAGCTGCCTGTATTCAGACGGTGATGTGTAACGGGGGCTCCTGAGGTCCGTTCTTGCTTAATTCTAGTTTTTATTTTTTTTAACCCGTGCCTTGTGGTTATGGTACAAAAAAAGAACATGTTGTTATATTTTTGGCCATAACACCCAAGCATAATGCAAGGTGTCGGTCTTCCCTGGCAGCAGCGCGGCTGACGGACCGTTTGGGGCTCCTTTAAAAGGAGTGTTTTCCATATGGGAGCGCGCGCCCCGTCGGGGGGGTGATGAACCGACAGAAGATGGAAGGGAGACGTGCCATGGGGGTGGGCTGCGGACCGGCGCCACGCCGCGCCTTTCGATGGCAGGGGTGTGACCGAGTGAAGCAGCGACTGAGGAACTGTGACATCGTGGGTGCAGCCTTCAGTGTGCTGGCACCGAGGGCCGACTCATTAATGGGCTTGGACCTCGACCACACTTCCCACCTTGCTTTTAGCAAGCAAGCCCACTCTTTCTTCTTCATTAATGTTAGCATGCCCGGGGGGGTAGGCAGCCAGCTGTTCTCCTGACTTGGGAGTTTTTAGTTCCTCTCCTCTGTTGTCATCTGGCTTTCTTTTTTTCATTCTTTCTTTATTTGTCTTCCCTTTTTCCTCTGCATGCTCTGTCTCTGTGTAGAAATGAATTGCATTGAAAGTAGGGTACTTCATTGTTGTTATTATAATGATATTGTTGTTAATATTGTTACAGTTGTTGTTATACCACAGTGCTTATGATCAGCCGGTCCTCCCCCTTTCTCCTGAACAGTGTGGTCCTGAGGGCTTTGTCAGTCCTAAATTCCTGCCCCCCGAACCGCCTCCTACACACCCCCCCTCCCCACCACCACCAGACGACTGCAGGGCATCACCTCTCCCTGTCTCTCCCGCAGAAATACAGATACCAAGATGAGGACACGACGGCCCCCCAGGACCACGGCTCACCGCGCCTCGCTGGCGACCTCCAGAGGCCGGAGCTGGCACAGGCGTCCGAGAAGACCCCCCAGCAGCCAGAGGGCGCTCACATCTTCGTACCCCACTCTCACGTCTCGCCCATGAAGGTAGAGCAGGGGCCTGTCTCCCGCTCTGTCACTCACTGCCTGTTACACACCCCCCCTGCATGTCTCATTGGAACCTCCCCCCCCTTCCCCCCGGAGGTGCACACACACACACACACACACACACACACACGGTCACCCCAGGTGTGATTCAGCAGTATTTCAGTGGAAATCTACTACTCAACCATGAAACCCATTAACCTATCATTATTACAGGTTTAGCAATTTTTTTTATTAGGAAATTTTAAAATGTGTTTTACATCGCCTGCTTTACTTGGAGAAGCGGTTGGTGTTTAATTTACAGAAGTGCTGCATTTAGCAGCATGACAGCACTGCCGTGATGTCGTTTGTACATGCTTCATGGAGATCAGTCTCAGTGTTTATTTTGTTGATGCGGATGGCCATCATTTTCCCATCTGAAACTCCCCGTTAGGGAATCTGCTCAGGCTTGCAGCAGGGGAGCCTGGAATGTAGGCCAGGGCCCCATGCGTAAAGGCACTGGGATGTGACCGCAGCCCATCTAGTGCCGACTGGATGGACACGTGTCCCTGCTCCCTCCGTCTGACTGGCAGGCACCGGGGGGGTCCTGGGCACAGGGTGGGGGAGAGCAGCCGGTTTTGGCCTCTCTTATATTTTCGTTCCAATAACCAGGCAGAACATCTCAGTGGTTCCGATTCTGGCGGTTAAACAGAGTGACTCGCTTTGCACATCCACTGCTTTGCTGCAGTCATTTAAATGACATTAATTAAATATCATTGGTATTACAGAGGAATTCCTTGCTTATTTAGCTACACCGAACAATTATCCACATTCTGTATGTTTGCTCAACTAAAAACCAGTACAGTGAGTTAGCAGGTGTCTCCAGATTAAAGGATGTTCGAGAAGAACATTTAGAAAAAAAAAATTATCATTTCAGGAATGATCTGTGAATGTATTAGACTTGAGCCTTGTCTTCTATGCATAAGTGGAGCAGCAGCCTGGCACTGGAGCAGTGCCCTGGCACTGGAGCAGTGTCATGGCACTGGAGCAATACCCCACAACATTCCTATACCCACAAGTGAGATACTGTAACTGAGTGAAACCCTCCAAGTAACCAGGGTTTCTCCATCGCATTTTTATGTCCACTTAAGTTCCTTGAAATGTACCTTGGACTGTTACTATTATTAATATTTCTCAGCATAAAAACAGAGCTTTATATAGCAAATAGCATGGCTCTTTATAAGCACCACCCTCTCAAATCATGTCTGGGTGAATCCAAGTCCTGGAGCCCCGGAGGAGTCCCGTTTAATCGGTGACTGTTGCACACGGCGCTGCGAGGGAACTGTGTGGCCTTACTCAGGAGTGCAGTGTGAAATGCTGGCCAGCAGGAAGGGTCATTGGGAATGGAGTGTTCACTGTACCATAGCCCACATGGTGCTTTACCGGGTGATACTGGGAATGCAGTGCTCCCTACACCAAAGCCTGCATCAGGGCTTTACCAGGTCATACTGGGAATGCAGTACACCCTACACCAAAGCCTGCATCAGGGCTTTACCAGGTAATACTGGGAATGCAGTGCTCCCTACACCAAAGCCTGCATCCGGGTTTTATAAGGTGATACTGGGAATTCAGTGCTCTCTACACCAAAGCCGGCATCAGGGCTTTACCGGGTGATACTGGGAATCCAGTGCTCCCTACACCAAGGCCGGCATCAGGGCTTTACTGGGTGATACTGGGAATGCAGTGCTCCCTACACCAAAGCCTGCATCAGGGCTTTACCAGGTAATACTGGGAATGCAGTGCTCCCTACACCAAAGCCTGCATCA